AACATAATACAGTAAGGCACTATAGTATGTTTATGAAGATATTTACAAACATAATACAAAATTGCTATAGTTTAACTGAATTTAAAAAAAAGTAAAATAAGACTGAAATTTGATTTTTTTTTTTTGTGTTCTTCGCGAAAAATAAACGTGGATGAATCGATGAAAATCGATATTGTGCAAAACTTTTGATACAGATATCATATAGTTTGATTTGATTGAGAAACTGTATTTATTCATCCAGAGATGTCCAAAAGGGGGGGCCGAAAGTGGGGCCGATCGAGAAAACAATACCCTAGGGGATTCGGGGGAAAATTTCTATGTCAGACGCAGAAAAATAACCTCTGAGACCTTTTGGGCAATAACATTTTTCTTTTTTTTTTTACTTTCCAAAGGGAGGAAAATCTAAATCCACCCCTGTTGACGTTTTTTATAGCATGGATCATGTTGTTGCAAGAAAGTATAATTTAAAGTCGATTACATAATTATGCTAGTATAGTACTGGAATGTAGAATTTTTTCTTCCAGTTGTTTTGCTCAAAAACAGTAATCTTCAAGGTGTGCATTTCAACATTAGTATTAATTTCATTTAATTGTTATACATCAAATGTTTCAGTTCTAAAAATGATGTTCACTGTAGTGTTACACTGTCAATGGAATTATTTAAATTATGTATTCAACTGCAATTGGCCAGTTATTCCCACAAGCGTTTAACCTTCGGTAATACAAGAAAATGAGATGTGAATAAGGAAAAATGATAAAGCAATTATTTTCGTCTTGAAGGTCAACAAAGGGTTTTGATGTGAAGGTTGGTGAGTGATTAGATTATGTGTTTGTTGTTCATGGGAGCAATATTTTTAATATTAAAATCTATGGGGGTTAAGGCCAGAAAAGGTTACTTTTGTGTGTGTCATAACCTCTCCCTGATGAATGTTTACAAGGATTGCTTTGGATGTAACATTAGTACTGTATGGCATGCTCATGATGTGTTTTAACTAGCGAAATTAGGGGATCTAATAGTACATCAATTCGTCCACATGAAGTTGAAGTTCAAATAAAAGAAGGTAAAGTAACATTAATAAACAAAAGGAATGGGTTGGGGCAAGGAGATACATATTTTATCAAATATAAAATATGTAACAATTTGCTTTGTGAATATATTTAGTTTCTCAGGCAACTTTGTAACTTTCAAAAAGTTTCTAAACTATAGAGGGCAGCATTACATTTAGTTAATATCTTTTGGACTTATTCAGTTCTCATCAAACAGCAACTCATCACTTACAGTACAGGATCAAATAAACTATTTGATCTTTTATATAAATTCAATCTTATTAAGAAGCCTGTGACTTCAAATCCTATCCCCGATATTCAACCCCCAGCCCACAAGCCATCTCTGGCCCACCAAAGTTTTTCTGTTTATGAAACACCACCTAGACACCCTTACTCTTGCATTATTTACAAGAGTGTGGCTTTTCCTGAGTGTAGCTCACTGCATCTAGTGGTGTATAGTATTGACATGGGGAGACTAATGGGGATACTTCCATTTTTATGATAACAACTGCAATAAAGCTTCTCGTATTGGATAATGGATGGTATTAAGTGGAGCGTTTGGATATGATGCGATGTCTAACCATTTGCGGCACACGCACTGCTCGGGGAATGTTTTGTTAGTTTGAAAACTTATTTTTAATTCCGAAAGTGCCATTTACAGGAATCTAGAGGTATCTATGTTAAAAATTTACTCACCTCAACGCCAACCACTGTTGAGTGGATATTTTTGTGGTAGGAAAATTTCTTGTGGAAGGGTAGGGAACCTGGAGTGCAAGTTTTTCTCAAAATTCTATAATAAAATGGAGAAGAAAAGAAAATTACAGTATATTCAATTTTAAGTCTGAGAGTGCCACTTTCGACCATCATAAATGGTGCCATAATCATAAATTTTCTTACCTCAGCCCCAACCATGGTGGGGCCGGCTGAGGTGGTATTTTCCCCTATCTGTGAAAGTTCTTTCTAGCTAGCCCCTTCTATTTTGAATCCGCTATAAAAGCAAATGGGCGGGGCTGACATAGAAAAAAAAATTGAAGTACTACTGTACACAAGTTTATGTCAGTCTGCCACTGGTACCAACAGATTGGAACTGGCCACCAGCTTAATTACGGTATAAGGTTGAATACCAGGACCTTATTGAATTTGAACCATTGACTGGGTTAAAAAGCCAATATCTTATTTACTAAGGTACAGCTCCACTAAAAATGTGTTCTAGTCCAAGGTATGTCCAGGGGTTTTGGGGTTGCAGGGTGTTTGGGGAGCCTAAAAATACGCTCCAACACCATATTTTGTCCCGTCACTGTCATCACACACTCCACCAGTGCGACCATTGGCCGACGAATCCAACTCCACTCCCTGTGAGCGTTGGACAACATGACCCAATCTGCTGATTGTTGGTGGCAGCCTGAACAGATCGTCATTAAAAATGATCAGTTGTGCTTGTGCTGTGACATTGCATTCATTCTCCAGGCAACCGGCTGACAACTATCGTATGCAGTGAGTACCCAGCTTAATACCAAGCGCTGATTCTCATTTCAGGTATTTATAGAATAGTGCTCTGAATGGAGCTGATGTGTTCCATAAAGCCGGTTACTCACTGCGTGCGACATCGATGCGACGAAGAACGCACACAAAGACGCGGACCCAACGGATCGTCTTTTTAATGAGGATCCATTCAGATTGCCACCGACAATCGACAGACAGCGTTGCATTGTCTATCGCTCGCCGGAAGCAAATGTGCAGCGAGTGTCCAGCTTAAGTTTTTGATCCCATGGTGGGGGCGACATTGAAAAGCGCTATAAAAATGGAGCATTTTAAAATACAAAGTATCTTTTTACCTGGTTTCTTGCAGCTTGGCATAATCAATACAACAGCAGCAAATCCAGCACATATAAACCAAATGGGACAAGTATAGAGATTGTGTATGAAACTGGAAGCATGATGGGATTCTTAAGCACAGACAATGTTGCAGTAAGTACATTTCTACTAGTTTTTTTGTTGGGAGAGTTGCAATTTACTGAACAACTATATTATATTAATCATCAGCTATTGTCGGTCGACTGCTGGACGAAAGCCTCAGCATTTTGATGCCAAATCAATCTCTCTCTTGCTGTGTTGCACCAATTCACTTTTCCCCAATGCTTGTCGATCTCATCTCTTCATCTTTTACGCTGCGTTGTGTGTTAATATTACCATGAAGCTATTTATACCATATTTTAATACAAAACAAGAAAGATTTTTTATTATGAATATTCAGGGATGCATTCCAAACCCTAAATTATGAAATTATGCTTAATAGCAGGTAAAATATATATTTTGTAAAAAAAAATAATAAAATACAAAAAAAAAATACAACAAAGTACTAAAACTGCAACTGACTTTTGTTTTTTTTTGTTCTTGAACACAATTTACACAAATTAATTTCAAGACATAATAATAATATATCAAATTTAATTGCCTTAAACAAACCAAAAACTAATTTTGCTATTGTTTACATTAAGAAAGTTCCCTGTGGTTGAATTAGAATTTCAAAATGTGAATATTACTTCTGTACATTATATATTTTAAATATACTAAGGGGTGTTTCTTCCTTTGTAATTGATGTGGTAGCTCAATGCATGCCTAAAAAAGTAAGGAAATATTTTTAGTAAAGTAATAGGTGTTTTACGCAACAGGACGGAAAGATGGATGGACAGTGGTTTTCTCATCAGAGTGAAGACCACAATAAACAATAGGGCGCTTTACCCGTCCTCTTGCATAAAGTGCCTAATATGATATAGTGACAGAGATAATGATTACAGAGGGCTCACTCCATCCATATTTCATAAAAGCACAGGATTGAAGTTAATTTAATGTAAGTGTAATTTTATCTAATATATTGATAGATTGGAAACATTGTTGCCAAGAATCAAACTTTTGCAGAAGCAACACGAGAGCCAGGAATGACATTTGTTGCCGCCAGCTTTGATGGAATTCTTGGAATGGGGTATAGTGAGATTGCAGTGGATGGCGTCCAAACAATCTTTGATGCATTAGTGGAACAGAAGGTCATTGATAAACCAATTTTCTCTTTCTATTTCAATCGGTAAGGAATTAAATATATTATTTTTTTAAGGCTTGCATGACGAAGTAACTACAATAATAATGCTTGTCGTAAACCATGTACATAGTTCTGAAAATAACTTTTGTCTCTGTGTTCTAGAAATACCAGTGATAGCACCGGAGGAGAGCTTATTCTTGGTGGGTCAGATCCAAAATACTACAAGGGAAGTTTCTCCTATGAGAAGGTGACACTTAAGGGTTATTGGCAGTTCAACATGGACAGGCGAGTAGTGTTACTTTGCATATTTGTTTTACAGCATTAATTTTGATAAAAAGCCACATAAACATGTATCTATACTCCTTGAATCCATACTCAATAAGAATCTTTAATGCATTTTTCTGTAACAAAAGTCAACAAAATATAACATGACACTGTAACGAACACTTGCATATGTGAGATCTCACCACAATATGAGTCGGATGGTTGGAAAATCAAACATTGAGATTATAGCATATTTGAAAAGATCACATTGGTCTTTGAATAGGTTTCTTAATTAATAAATCTGAGAAGTGAACGTTCAAAATTTAGATGTATGGAAACCTGATTTAGATGTATGGAAACATGATTTAGAGAAAATTTAGTCTCAAAGTATTAAAATAGTAAGCGGGCCCCTTCATATCTAACTGCTGAAAGGGATATCCACTTAAAATATAGTTGAATAAATAATAAATAAATAATGGTAGATTATTTTTAGAGCACCTTCCACAATCGTCTCAAGGTGCTGGTTCAAAAAATGTTGAAATCAGTTTTTTGGTATTACTTTTTCAGTGTTGTAATCAAAGGTGGGTCCAAATTTTGCCCTAATGGGTGTGAAGCCATTGCGGATACTGGCACATCTCTGATTGTTGGTCCAACACAAGACATTATTGCTATTAACATGGAACTAGGAGCTAAATTAATTGAAGACTCGGTAAGTTAAAAAAGTTTCATTGCATGTTGAATATATTCGGTGTCTGTAGACATAAACGTTTGATATAAAAAGTAAACCTATCAAAAGTGGGCGAAGCAAACTAATTATTATTTATAATTAGCTGCAGTAATGCATGCAGTATTGCCAAATTATAGAAGTGTGTGGCACAGGTAAAGCGTTGGCCTTTCAATCTGAATTTCGGAGGTTTGAGAATACTCCTCACTCTGCTTCTGTCTTTGGACAAGACACTTTATCTGCATAATTATATGCCTCCCTTCACCTTGGAGTATAAATTGGTACCTAGTAGGCTCGAGGTGAATGATTCAGAATGAAATTAGTAGTGCTGATTACACTAATAACTAGGAATACTCTCCAGGGAGTGGAGGCGATTGCACATTGTGTACGATTGATTGTGTCTTCAATGACCAGGGAAAAAAGCGCCTTTTCTGGATATGTAACGTTATATAACATATGCTATATAAATCCTATTTATAAAAATAATAAAAATAAATAAAAATTCCAAATCAACGAACATTTAAGTGGAAGTACAGTAATTTATTTTACTCATAAGTGAATAAGAATATTTGTGTCTTAAAAGCTGCATTTAAAGAAAAAAATAATAAATAATAAATAAACGATAATGAAAGTAATATTCAGGTTTCTAGTTTGTTGATATTATTATCAATTGTATTTTGTAACAGGTTTCACAGTATGCCTTTGAATGTGACAAAGTGGCATCTTTGCCATATGTTGGTTTTATTCTTGGTGGAAAGGCATTTTACTTATCTGCAGAAGACTATGTTCTTAAGGTTAGTATAGTAGCAATAATGTGGATAAGAGAATGATTAACTATGGCAATAACGATGATGGTGATCATTTGAAGATAATGGGCACTGTACGGACAATGATAAGTATGATGATCAGTTCATCCATCAATATTTCAATCAATCAATCAAATCTGCCATTAAGTCCATTGTTAATTTTATCAATAAAATCTAATCTATCATGATTCTATGAATAATTTAATCCATCTATAAATTTGGTAATACTGTACATTTACTAATCATAAATTAATCAAGACATCTGTCAATAAATATATCAATTAATAAATTTATCAATCATGCTATCAATTAATCTATCAATATATGAAACAATTAATAAAATAACTCGCCTTCCAACAATAATTCCATCAATCTACCAAAATGTCCATCACTCATTATGAGCCCTCACTAATAATAAAATAGCGCCCTCTCTAATCTAAAGTAGTATTTTCATTTCGGGAAATGAATTGAATGATCAATTGCAATATTGTACAATGCAAAAAGATGGAAAACTAAAAAAAAAATGAAAGAAAAAAATAAAACTATATTCAAGTATGAGAATGCTGTTTCTAGGTGTAGCATAATCATAATTTTTTTTACCTTGGCCCAACATGGCGAGTGAGGCCGAGTGGTCTATAAACTACATCTGTGAAACTCCCTCCCTGGGCCCCCTCTATTTCTAATTCCTGGATCCGCCACTGAAACATGTATCTTTACCCAGCCCAGAATATTTTATTCACACTTCATACTCGGGTGAAATATCTCAACAATATTTTTTTTTTAATTGTAGGTTTCACAGTGGTCCAGTGAGACTATGATCTGTTTGAGTGGGTTTCAAGTTTTGGATTCACCATTGACCATTGGCCCTCTTTGGATTCTCGGTGATGTGTTCCTCGGAAAGTTTTACACCGAGTTTGACAAGGGTGCTGATCGTGTCGGCTTTGCTGAAGCTGTGTAAAGCTTTGTCCGCACTATCAAATTTTTTTGAAAAACACTTTTTTATGCCCATATATAGTCATGATGTGGCTGTATATGGTCATGTGATGTCACATGTTTTTGTCAAATAAAATTTGATAATAAGTATAATATTCATTTGTTATCATTTTGCCATTATAGCAAATTCCAAATGTTTTGGATTTTTTTTTAGTGCTCTTTAGTATTTGCAATAGCTTTAAAATAAAATAAATCAGTACTGCAAGGTGTGTTGATATTTCTGTCATGGTTCAATTATAAGAAGATATTGAGAAGGGAGGTAGAATCTTCCTTGAATAGTTTAGACTCAGGATGAGAAAAAAAAAGTTTTAATTCATTTGCCCAAGGGAACAAAAAAAACCAAAAAACGGCCAGCTAGGCGCTTGAATCTGTATCTTTGGATTGGAAGCTCAATCGTTTAGTGCTGCAATGCCACGAATTAATAGCATGTAATCCTATGTTAAATGTTAAGTCTATGATTTCATTTTGTAGAGGTTAGTAACAATGCATTGAAATTAAATGGTATAGGTTGAAGATGGAATTAGTATAGATTGAAGTTGACATCTATTTTGAAGTTGTTCTTGATATAATAACAACAATTTGTTAACTGGTACAAAAAGTTGTTTGACGAACAAATTTGGAACTGTTCAAAAGTTTTCCACAGAAAAAACAGTTGCACAACATCAAAAAAATGTTTTTCCTCCGGAGCCTGGCTTTAAAAGCAAAAAGATTTTTTGTTCTAGAGAGGACTTTTGATATGCCATTAATGATAGAATCAACCTTAAAATCATTTTTTGGCTTTTTTTTATGAAGTTATAGGCAATTATATACGATTTTACCATGAAGTCACTGGCGCAAAAAGTAACAAAAGATCGTGTAAATAGTGCCGTGTAGGGTATCCGCTGCGTACGATCTTTGCGTGTATGCTGTAACCATGGCTGTAAATTGTGATTGTTACAGCATGCAAAGATCGTACGCGGCGGATACCCTTGTTTGCTGCCATCATCATGAAAGCTTATTAAATATAGACCATCTATACTAATAAAATAACATGTTTTTCTCTGTTGTCCAAATATCTCAGAAAGTGTTTCCAGCACAATTATGATTTTCACACATGTTGTAGCTATCACAAGTCCACATTCATAGCCATATATATTCACAATCAATACCACAACACCATATTCAAACAACGAACGCGTAAGTGTTACATGCTATTACATAGAAGATAGATTTACTATGATACACATACATATGGGAAAATTTGGATTCCAAAATAGCATGAAATTAGCTTTCCTGACTTCTGAGGTGTCTTCAAAATTCAAGGTTCCCCAATCATGTGAACTTTCTCTTCTTATTAAGGTCAATAAGCCTATTATGTGTGTATACAGTACATACATACAAAAAATTGAGTACTGTAGTTGCATACATATTTTATTTTTCTATGAATCGATAAACCCCAAAGAGAAAGGGGGGTCAGGGGTTCTCCCCAGGGAAATTTTTATTCCTAGATGGCGGTAAATTAACTTTCCTCACTTCAAATTTTCCCATTGTAACAAAACAAATTTCGGCTCACAGGCCCTGATTTTGTTTCTTTTCATTTATTTATGTATTTACCGTTATATTTTTAATTTTTTTTTGCCCAAATGGGGATCAAGACCCTTGACACCCCCCTCCCCTCAGATCCGCCAATGCCACCCATTCAAATATATACATCGTCACCGTTCCCCACTCATTCAACACCATGCGGAGCTAGTGCTAGTGGCTAATAAAGTTACTCTCATATCATGGTTGCAATCTACAAATTACTCATTTTAATGTTTGTATTAAGCTAATTTAATACAACATGAACTTATGAAACACTTTTGTATGAAAAAGTATATACCATCAAAGTAAGTTTCATATTTTAGGTCATAGGTCAAATGTAATGATAATATTAAGCAACTGGTCAATTTTAACTCATTGTTTTACAAAATATACCAAGATTGACTGTACTGTAGTTGTAGCATTCCCTAATCGAAGGTTGTCCCGGATGAGTCTTGGATTTAAGAAAAATTTCACACTATAATTTAAAAAAAAAAGCTTTGATTAAAAAGCACAGACTTTTCAAGAGTTTAGTTTCACAAACATTAGCACTTCTGTCCCTAAAACTGATGTGTTGGCTTTACTGAGGCTGTGCTCGTTAAAGTTACAAGATTAATGATATTAGTTTGCTATGAACTTGCCAAATGTTACTGTTTTATAGTCGTCTTTAGAGTTTGCAATTTATTTCAAAGTAATATCAAACAGTACTGAATGGTGTGGGCGCTGAAGAGTGGATATCTGTAGGTCCTGGTTGCATTGCACTTTTGGATGAGACGTGCATTATGGCCCCATGTGCATGTTAAAGAACGCATTACACTCTTTGGAAAAGTACAGTAGGGGATTGTCTCCCCGATCACCACCAGGACTACACTTGAAAAAGGTATTTTTTGGATTATCCTTGGTGTTTACACTGACTAAATCCAAATCCAATCCTAATCCTTATGATAATTTTGTAAAGCTGCAGCTAATAAACAGTGCAATGGTATTTAAACCTACCAGACGGTATTTACGTACACTCCTACATGGAGACTTCCATTATTCAAGAACGCAAATACAATAAAACACATTTTTACATACTGTAATAGTAGACTCTAAAGTTTATTTTTAAAAATAGCTTTTGGGAAACCCCTAAATTGTCATGGTTTTAGCTTCGCCTCTGGACCACTTCCGAAAGACTTCGGGCAACGCCTAACCATACTCACTTCACTATCGTAGTGAGCATCCCCCAACCTGGTGCCACCCCCGAGTAGTGAAACTCTAGGTGGAGAGAATACTTTGTTCAGTTAGTCGCTTAAAGGTACAAACTAATGACCAGCTTTGCACTTGAACCCTGATCATTTGAGTGGTCAAGAATAATTATTTACTGCTGCACTGCCACCTCCACGGACCAAGAGCGTGTGATAACTCTTTTCGATGATTTTATTTCATAGAGTTTATAATAATGCATTAATATAAAACAATATTTAGATTGAGGATAGAAGTTAATGTCTATTTTGAATATTAAATATATTTTTTTAGTTTTAAATATGGTCCTCGGGATATAATAATTTAAGGCCAACTTGGTATTTGTTTTCAATTGGTTCCGAGTATAATATTTATTGAATTAAATTTCTGTAATTAAAATCCTCACAGAAATGGCTACAGCCAAATTATCTCATACGGTTCTTTCCGTATCAATGTCATTTAGTGCAACTTTCTGCAAACTAGAGTCAATCAGAAATCACAGACAGACGCTAGTATTTTCAGAGTGCATTCTTCTGTCTGATTTACAAAACAGAGGAGCAAAAACTTGAAAAAAGCTTAATAAGAAACTTCACAACATTTTAATTACATTTTCCAAAAGTTTGAGCTTTGAGCTTTAATTTTTACCAATTAACACTCGCTTTATGGCATGAAATAAAAAATATATCTTGCAATTATATTTTCCTAGGACAGAATATAAAGAATAAGTTTCAGATAAAGAGGAGCAAACATATAAACTCACAAATGCAAAATTTATAAAACAATTCAACAGTATTTACAAACAATATTTTCCTGAGGCAGGGCCAGATATTTGCTGGAGGTGGGGGGGGGGGGCAGAAAAAAGGGCAGATGTAAATGACAAAAATGTAAAAAAGTAGGTTCAAATTTTGTCCTAATGGATGTGAAGCCATTGTACATCTCTGATTGCTGGGGCTCGGTAAATAAATTAAAAAAAACCAAAGTGTCTATGCTTACTCTCCGAGACGTAAACATTATTGAAGGACTATGCTTACGCCGATGCTACAAACCTAGTTTACAGCAAAGCGTAAGCATTATTCACTGGCTCTGTTTGTACACCCAGATGCGGCGACTCTGTAGCCTACGTCGAAGCATGAGTATTGGCTATGCATGGCTTCAATTTAGGTAGGCATTATTAAAGTTAAACTGAGACCAGGGCTACATACAATGTTCTGTTTACAGTACCTATCCTCCATATTGTAAAGTTTTTTAATTGCGCGAAGGATATCTAAAAAATGAGCTCAAATTTGCGCTGAAAATCGCTAAGAAAAGAGGTGCGCGAAATTGTAATTGCTGCACAATTGCATTGGTTATATATTAAGATTTGTTCAAAGCCTAATTTTCGATAAAATTGGCCCTTATTTTCCAAAATGCTCAGACGGATTTCTAGGCCAAATTTTTGCGCAGGCCTTACTACACAGTTTGGGGCTAGGCCTAGCCTATATATATAGCCAGATAGCCTAGTACTCAAGTAGGCCCTATAGACCTAGTGTAGTAGTACAGTAGTAGGGTGAAACTTTTTTTATACCTTGCTTAGCGAACCCGCCTACAGCAAATATCGATGATTTCAAATAAAAATAAAATTTTATTTTTGGCCAATTAGCGCTCCCACTGCCACGAAAAGAGTGGAAATTTAAAAAAATAAATAAAAGTTTTTCTTTATTTTTATTACACCCCCCGCTGCCTTGAAATCTCCAAAGATAATATATGTATATTTCTTCCTAAAATTTTATTTTTATTTTCTCCTCCGTCTGGATGATTTTGGCAAAACTAGTTGCTAAATAAGAAAGCAAAATTTTTTTTTTATTTTCATTCTGCCCTCCTCTGATAATCTTCACAATACAAAAAATAAGTACCCGAAACAAGGAATAAAAAAAGTCTGCCTACGTAGTAAGTAGGCCCTACCTATTCTAGTACTAGACTACCATGTGAAGGTATTATTGAGAAGATCACTCGAAAAAGCTCCGCGCACACAGCGCTATGCAAATGATCCAAGGGCAAAGCTGCCACAGCTCGTGATGACCGGTTGCATGATGCCTTTGAAGTCTAATATGTTCCCCGCCACCAAATGCTCAGCAGGCTTAGTTTACCAAAAAACTGAACATGGCAAAACGGAGTGCACCTTTTTTTCTCAATGCCCACTACTTGCGGGCTGCGCAAACGTTTCCACCTTGAAATACAAAGCATAATAATATTTACTAAAAAAAGTTTCGAATTAAATGAAAGATTTACATGAGCTTTAATTATATGGTATATTTCAACTTGAATTTCCATAAATTGGATAAAACTCGATAATTCTAATTTTATCCGATATGAATTAAGGAATGATTTAGGATTATAATAAACTAAGTCATTTTAGTGTGAACGAGTGTGGACTATTCAAAAATTCAATCAAAGACAGTTTATGCTGCCTTAGGTTTATTTACAGTCAAACCAATTGATCTTTAGACAAAATTATAATGAACACAGAACTAATTGCAAAAGAAATATTTTGCGGAATTTGTTCCTGAAATATACATATAATATGTTAACTTATATTTATATAGCGCTTAATGCTAACAAGGCCTCTAAGCACTTCACATTACTACCCCGGTCATTGGATTAATGCCTATGGAACACAAACGGTTCCATAAAGTTGCAGCAGCTACATCAGCGCAATTGGCATTTAACCCTACCACCAGGTACCCATTTATACTCCTGGGTGGGGAGAAGCAATGTACAGTAGATGAAGTGCCTTGCCCAAGGACACAAGCGAAATGCACAGCGAGGGGATTGAAACCCCAACCTCGAGATTGGGAAACCAAACCGTTCCCACTGCGCCAAACCACTTCATATACACATGTAATAACATTCAGACGGTCTATCGCGTATAAAAGCGTAGCTTATAAAAGAATGTCGTTGCCAAATTCGCCCGCTTGATCCAAAGGCGGAGAACACACTGGCTTGCCGCGTCAAAGGCATCTGTTCCCGAGCGATCTCCCTCTCAATAATATCTCCATGGCCTACTACTAGTGTGTAGTACACTAGGCCTATGCTGGTGGGAAATTCTGCTAGGCCTAGGCCAGTAGCTAGGCCCTACTACTACTAGGCCTAGTTGTAGTACCCTAGGCTAGCTTTCCAAATATAATGAACGGAGCACCAAATGAACATAAACAATTGCCAGCAATCTTATTTGACTTCGAAATGTTACTTCGCCACTTCTTATTCAGGAAACACGGCAAGCGAAAAACCTGTGAAATCAATTTCTAGCTTCTAGATTTTTTACTTCGCCGCCAGCACTAGGCCTACTTAACCAATCATCCATTGTTTGCCATCGCTATGCGCTACACGACATCACCTGGTCAGATACGTATAGGCCTAGTACAGCTCCACCACCGTCAATTATCGTAGTACAAGACCTGTTAAATAATTATTACTCAAAATATTACAGAAATTAATAAATTTTCAAAAATTAAATATTAATATTATGGTAGAATATAAGTAGTACGTATTTGGCAATTTTTTTAAATTTTAGAAACTTGAAAATATAATAATCACATGATGCGATTTGGTCACCTGATAATCCTCACGCGCTCTGCACAATAAATTTAACAACAACAATGCTACACACTGTCACTTGTACTTCTTGTGAATTCACTGGCTTCTTGGGTAGTCTTCCGGAAAAAAGAACACAAGATGAAGTTTCTTATAAGCTGGCTTTTGCTTGTCATTTGTAACCATCTTGGTTATGGCTTTGAGCGGTGAGAATTAATCAGAATATTAAACAGATTTTTTTTTACACTAGTAAATATTGTTATTTTATTTTTAGTTCCAGCAAACCAAAGAGGTAATGCCTCCTTCCTTGGTTTCAGCCTCTTGGTTTCTTCAATTAATTCTAGCCCTAGATTTAACACTATTCTGTCAATGCTGTTACTAGTGATGTCATGATAAGCCTGTCTCTTATACACATCTAGATGGGTATAAGAGACAGCATAAGAATAGAGGAAAGAAAAAGGGAAATCTTTTAGCCTTTTGTTATATACACACCTATTTCCTAGACGTTCTCTATAACCATAATATTTGTTTCATAAAAAAAAGTCCGGCATATGCCTTTAACCAACTGGGCCACTGGTAAAAGTTTTGAATCTGATGTAGTACATGCACACAGATGAAACAGTGATCAGTGTGATACTCTTTCACATAAGTATTTCAAGGGACAAGACTTTCATAAAAAAAAAAAAAAAGACAGCAGAATACCTTAACTTATCTTATCTTATATTATTAATATTAATTATTATTATTATTCACTTTTCAATATTATAAACCAAATATCTTGTTTCCTACTTAGTATACGTCTCACTAAGTTTGGTAGTTTGCGTCATCAGTTGATTGGTGCACGCACTCCGATGGAACAATTTTTGAAGTACAACTTGCAAACCAAGTATAACCTGATTGGCGGACCTGTACCAGAGCCACTGACAAATTATCTTGATGTAAGACCCTAAGGGATCCATATTTCTCCAGATTTTATTGATAATATAGAAAGTAAACTGGAAACTATAAGTAAGGACAGGGATCATCATCGTCATCATCACCATTATACTATCATCATCATCATCATCATCATCATCAACATCACGATCATCATCATATAATCTTCATCACCATCTACCATCATCACTATTGTTTGTTATGTAACCTCAAATTAAATAGAGAACATATGATTATTATCATTCGTATTGTTATCAACATTGCTATCATTATCTTTTAATAAAATTAATAGAAATATTACTTATAAATAATTTAAATAATAAATATATTTTATCAGGCTGAGTATTATGGAGAGATCACAATTGGGACACCCCCACAGAAATTCAAAGTTATTTTTGACACCGGATCATCCAACCTGTGGGTTCCCTCAGTGAAGTGTCCTGTGAATGACACAGCATGTGGTATGTATGTATATTTGAATTTATGTGTTGCTTCATTTTCTTTGTAATATATTATGTTACCTTCTGTGTCAAATGATGAAATTCCCAGCTTTATATTAGACATTTTGTTAAAGATATAAAGAATTTATGTTTTAGTAAATCAAATAAATTATGTTGGTCAAGAGGCATATAAAGAAATCTGTGCTTTAGCTAGAAACAGTGAATAGGAGTTTAATCTCCAGGGTCACAATCCATTCCTCAGGGTCACAATGCATTTATTCCCCATGGATTGGAGAATATTTATCCCTCTCCCCTGCAATGGGGTACAATGTCTATGACCTTCATGTTCTATTTTTATGTGCCTATAATGAATTCATAGAAATTCTGCTCCATGTTTTCTGTCCACAATTTTCTGCAAGCAGGCAACACACTTGGTAAATAGGTCTACCTGTGCACACACACATACTGCTCACAATCATCAACAACAGTTAAATAATAACCAGATCATGTGTGCAATTATGCTTCAGCAGATGATGTTCGTAAGATGCGTGTGCACCTGTGAACTTGGCCTTGATGCATGGCATGTTTCGCGTGAATCTAGCACATAATAAGGAGGTTCATGCTCTCATCAGTGTAGATTATCTGGTAGATAAGGGAGGAGTCATTTAAAATTAATAAACTAATAAACAGTCATTCCCAATAAAATCACACATGCTTTGCTGATATGTAGCTTTCTGCATATCACGATAAATACAGTAAATGACAGTCATCATTCTCTCATTAATGTTCATTCATCAACAGGAAACTGTGTACCATAGATATCAAGTCCTCTGTATTAATAATTTTATTGTATAATTTTTTCACTGCTATATGATACAGAACATACATAATTATAATTATGACTGTAGAACTGGTCGATAATAAACAAAAGCACAATGAAACACCCTTCCTTGTGAGGGCTAATAGGGTGATTCTCCTTTCTGTATAGAAATGATTGAATAATAATAACTTTGTTTTGTAAAAATAAATTCAACACTTTTCTACAATAATTGGACTGAAAAAATATAAGATGCTAACCCCTGGTCATATGGTAGGTTGATTCTGTTATCAGGTGATTCATTGATTTTATCGCTCATCATGTGATTGCTCAGGTAGCCGATGACTGGGTGTTAATTATATAATTACATCCATCTACCAAGTGATGATTGTCTTGTCATTTATGATTTCCTGGTTTGTCATCATTGAATTGCTTTAGGTGTTATTATCTTGTCTTATACTCATAATTGCTAATATACTGTAGTTGTGTACTAATAGGGCTATTTTGTGTAACACTTCTTTTTATTCATATTTTGGCTATAAATATTATAACTGCTTGCAGTTCTTTTTTTAAACATAATGAAACCAAAGCAAACTTAGAATAAGATAAATACAATACATCTATAATCTGAATGTACCAATCAGTGAGCTTCAGAATACAGTTAACAGGAAGCCACATGTTCACAAACAATGGAAATATCAAAAGGCTAAAACGAAAGCAGCGCTAGACAAAATTGGTCTTGGATCATTAAGTCAGAATTTTTCCCTCACCTTGCGGTCTGCTCAAAGCAAACATGATAAAGCTTATTCAAAACGAAAATCTGAATCAACTCATTTTTTTCATGCAGTTTGTTGTAAGTCCTGAAAATATATGCTTTTTTGAAGGGTCATCTTATAGTAATCTGCTATTTGAGCTATAACAGGTACTTATAAAATATGGTTAAACAAATAATAAATAAAAAATAGATGACCATAGAAGCATTCGGTTTTTAAATTGTAGTAGTTTGTGGGCATAGATAGTTTAAAGCAATGTACATCACACGGCCACTCCAGTTTCACACAATTCACCAGATTTCACATTAAACCAAAAATTGTAGCATCATGTTTATGATTTGTAGTTGTTATAAACGGAAATTATTTAGCATGTTTTAACAGATCCATTTGTGGCAACTTTTCAATTGCAAGTACTGTGTTCTAATTGACAAGGTCTTTTGACATCTCAGTGACAAGCAAGGGATGTATGTATGCACTTTCAGAGCTTGAAGCTGTCAGATTTTCCTCGGCGAGGCTTTACAGGCATGATTAGCTAGTCTTGCGAGAAGCTTTTGATGTTTGAAGAGGTTAGGCCTATACCAAAGAAGCTATGGTACACAGACATTTGAAAGTGAAATTTGGAAAACCCCTTAAAAAATTCAACATTACATTGTTTGTTCTGTATTTGATTACCACTTTAATTTCCATTCATGGTTTATGCAAAGAATATAGAAACTAAATTATATATACGTCACATTTTTAAAATAAAGTACATGTTTTCCCCATTGGAAATAAATCTACAATCTGGAAAAACCCTTTAAAAATCTATTTCAATATTTAATTTCCTTGTATAGAAGGATCAAATTTCACTTTTTGATGATTTACTAATTGTTTACCACTCAACTTTCATTCGTGGTTTATGTATAGAATAAAGAAACCATATTTATACATCACATTGGAAAATACATGAAATGAGACTACAGTATGTGCAATGTTCTGGGATGGATTAAAAGCTTAAAAATGGTTGCAAGGCCAAAAAATATATTGTTCAGCATCACATCTATACAAAAAAAAATCTTTTGGCAGAAATTTGTACAGTACTCCATGAATTGAACCAACAAATTGAAAGTGTGTATATTTTTTTATTCTTATGCTTTATTGCAATTTTGTATACAAAATTTAAGTTTAACTAATAACCAATGAATCATCAACACCAGGAAACATGAAAAGAATAACATTACATTTAGAACAACAATAACTGTGCATAGTTGAAAATATTTATGCAAATTAAGAAATTATATAAGTAAAAATTCTAGTTATAGTAAGAAGTGATATTTTTCTCATAGTACAACTAACAAATAATGTGAATTTCACAGTGAACAAAATATTTGATTCAAACTTTCTGACCACATGAGGTTTTCCCATGTCATCCTAAAATCACTTGTGTGGGATTATTTAACAATTACTTTTAACTAACAGGATCAAGTGGGACTGCGAAAAATATGAATGAGTGATTAAATCAGTTGACCAGTATAGCATAAATATAAAAAAAAATAAAAACAAATTGTCAGACATATGTCTAAAATTCTAAAATACGATCCTTGACTTTCCCAGCAGGGTGGACTCTGAGTAAGGTGGATTGACTGGAGAACAATTAACATAAATAAGAAAAATATTTAAAAAAAACACATAAAAGTGTTATGACTAATTTGGACCTGTGTAGATACAAGACCCTTGAATAAGTAGGAGGTGACGAGCAATTATTGCCTATAATCTAGCACATTAATCAACTTATTAGTCATTGTTAAAATGACTCGTCATATTATCAGTTTGTCTTTGACGATATTAAAATCTAGTGTACTGCCTTCTAAATGTAATTGATGCATGTTGTATGTGTGAATGTCCTTTAATGATATTAATCATGAGCGATATTGATTGAAAGGCATCCAATGTGAAATTCAGTGTCAAATTGTGAACATTAATATTATGGTGATATTTATTAAATTTATATAAGCATCATTACTACCACTGTTATGTATATCCTACATATAATGTATGGTTACTTCTCAATTGTAATTTAAATTTTTCATTATTCTTTATTTGTAAGGGGCCACGTTTCATAGCTTGCTTCTTTTTCCAAATTATAAATTTATTTATATATTATGTATTTATTAATTATATGTTTTGAAAATAAAGTTTATGAAATTGAATTATATATCATCATAATCATTTTATCACCATTCTTATCATCATAATTATCAATCATTTGCCAACATATTAAGTTTGTCATCATTATACAGGTACCATAAGAATTGTTTCCCTGCTGGGGAGAGCTACATTGAACTTCCCGCTGTCGGGGAAAAATAAAAGTAACCTTTGTAATTTTTGTTCCAAATTAGAGCCTTTCAAATCCCTAAATTGCTCGAGTTTCTGGGGACTTTTCCATATAGACCTCTTGTAAAGGATGCTGGGCTGCTCCCGCCCACTTGAAAATATATACTATAGATTATTTGGCTAAAAATTGTTGTCTAATGCATAGTGACAATTGAAAACCTGTGCCTGGTTAAGGCAGTGTTTGTACTACATGAGATTTTGATCAAATTTGAGCTTAATTAAGCCAGCTATACACTGCTAGCACAAAAACCAACAGGTCTCAATTGCTGATGTAATTATAGGGTTAGCTTTTAAATATGTATGGCCTAAATCTATTATACCAACCAGGGAGATGAACAAAATAAAGGAGGGAGCTTGAAGTTATTTAGCTGAAGGCTACCCCCTGTGAATCAATTAACTCTCCCTCCTCCTTAGTAAAAAAAATATACAAAAAATAAGCCTACATATTAAAGGATTTTCAGATTTTTGGGTTGGTCATGTGTTGCATGCCCTTATTCTCTTACTTCATTGTTAGACACAATAATATGCATGAAATATATTAGTTTTGTCCAAATCATGCAATACATATTTTATAAGCAAATTCGTGAACCTTTTTAACATGATATTTTTAATTATTATAATTAATTTCATTTTCATTTTATATTTACGGATCAAATTATACGCAGTGTAATTCAGTATACATAGATGAGTACAAGGTGTTTCCACTGATAGACAAAAAAGGAAGACCGTTCAACAAAAAAGCAGATAAATGGTGAATAATTGATAATTATTCTCAGATGGGACCATAGATAATACTGATCATTTGCTGCATTTATTGACAGCTAGCCAAATCATCGCTTTTAAGAAATGGGCTGCATCAGTCTCCATTTGTATGTAAACATTAGAATTGGCTTTGGTACTGCATTTTTTTCTCAAATTTTTTTTCTCTGCATGAATTTGCGTCTTTTTGTTGTTCTTTCCATTACTTAAGATATAGTCTCATATTTGAGCTAATAAAGTTGATAAATTAAATTCATTATTTAAGTACATTGGAAAGACAGTTATTAGTTTTCAGTTAAAATTCATACCAATGAAATATATTTTGCTGATTAACAGACATTGTACATAAATTATACTCTTTATATGTTACACACTTTTTATTTGCAGGTGATTTTATTTGGTAATTTTTGTTTTCTTAAACAGTAAATTAGCAAAAAACTAAATTTGGTTGATTTATTTCTCATAGGATACTGATCATTTATATTTAAGAAGAAATGGTTTTAAAATTTTAATTTTTTGAAGCTATTTTTTAAGGGTAGTAGACCCTAAAAGAAATATAGAAATACAGAAACCTAGTTTTTCTTAGTGATTCACAAACCAAGCAATTATTCAGCAACAGGGAGAATGTATGTGTAATTACATAGTAACTTGACACAGCATGTAATAATGTCGCTTCACACCGAGAGTGTGAAAGGTTTTCAATAATTCTTGACGTGTCATGGTTGCGTTTAAGTGTCTCAGATTGCTAGATGTCAATCAAATAAAAGTAAAAATTTAGACTTGTAAACTTCCGCTTTCCTGCAGTGTCTGTCTCATGAATGTCCAGCAAGGTTTGATGTGCTGTTTGCAGTTGCATTGATGTGTGCTAAAAGGAAGGAAGGAATAACTGTTACAAATCACTTTGTTTTTTCACTGAAAAAAAACAATGTCTAGAAAAAATATAGCTACACTCTCAAAGAACCAAAGGTAGCAGACTTCTTTACATAATGTTTAGAAAATCAGAACAATTTTTTACTTTAACACAATAATTATATGATTAATAGAATTAAAGTCATAAACTAAATTGCTTTTTTAAAATCCTTCTAAAAATATATAATATCAAAAGATCAAATCTAAACCTACTTGAGGTAATGCATAAATATTTGAATGTTAAAGAAGAATCTGTGTGATAAAAAGGTGCATAACAGGATTAAAACCCAGGAACTTCTGCTGTTTATGAAGGCTCATTACTGATCTTTCAAATTCTTTTTGCAAATTGGTAGTGGAACAGAACTAGTTCTTGATGCACTACAATAACAGTGGTCCCCCTACCTCTAGATGGAGAGCCCAAGCCACATCCACTGTCGCAACTCTTTGTTGTAAATTATTAGTCCAACCCATGACAAAACTGGACAAGAACTCAAGATGTATGTACTGTAATGATAATGATGATTAACTATAATAATATAGAATAAATAATTTTAGAATTTAATAATTTTGCAATATTTACCAACATTATTGGTTGCCATTTAAAAGTACAACTACAACTACCTGTTTGCTGTATGATTTCAAATTGAGGTCATAAGGTCATAATCTAGGAATTCTTGATTATACTGTTATCATGTGGTAGCATTTACATTGAGTTCCTTTCACATTTTGTGCAAGTGCAGGGTCATATTAATATGCCATGTGCATTTCTACTGATTGTCTTTTAAAACTTTGTTTATTTAATTTTATTTGATTTGTAAATGAAGTAATAATAATATTTAGTAGGGCAGATTGATATAGGAACTTTTACCTTTTGCAAATTGATTATGCGAGGCACTGGCGATGTTATTATTATGGGTACTTAATCCTTATAATATATCGTCACTGACACCACGAAGTGACACAATCCTAAAAAAATTCACAATTTTTCAATTTTTTTACTTTTACATTTCGATTATGTACATCAAACTCTTCCTTTTCAGCTGATTTTTAAGATTGAAAATATTTTATTTAGTTAGACTATTAGTTCAGTTTTCATGAACAGACACAAACTTTCAGTGGGTTATCAAAAGATGCGTGTGCAGTGTTGCAATTATTGTGATTGGCTGATTTGGTCTGGCTTTTAGAGGGTTTTGGTCGAAATTGAAGTTGTCTCTTTGTGATTTAAAAAAGTTAAATACATTAAAACTTTAAGTAAGTTAAAATTTAAACAAGTTAAATACATTAAAACTACAGAGATTTTCCTTTTAAGAGCTATCATTCCTGCTGTTCAATCAGCTGGTGTCAATCCACACCGCCACACCAGTCTTGCTTGATGGGGTGGCAGTTTAATTGTTTGGTGGGGGTGGGGAGACTAAGCTGCCTGACTGGGAGGGGCAGCGAGATAAGAATAACTTCGGCACACAACACCAAATGTGGGCTGTAGGCCCGAGCTGGGAGAGGGATTGGAAGAGTGGTGTCTCCCTCCCTTCCCCCCCCCCCCCCCCCAATTGAGATTTTTTTTTAAATTAGGGGACTTCTGGGGAAATGTGTTGGCTTGGCGTAGGCCTATTTTTTTAGGGGGGGGGGGTCAGACTGGCCAACAAGCTCTGCCAAGTGGGGGTTTGACATGTGCGATGGGGTTATGTCCTCTGCCCTGCAGCGCCGCCACTGCAGATATCATCAATGTTGATTTTTTTGCAAGAAAGTGTAATTGAATGTCGGTTACAGTACATGATTATGCTAGTACCGTACTGGAATGTAGATTTGTTTTGGTAGTTGATTAGCACAAAAACAGTATTTCTTCAAGGTGTGCATTTTAACATTAGTATTAATTTCATTTAGTTGTCATTTATCAAATGTTCCAATTATAAAAATGATGTTCTTTCACTGTCAATGGAATTATTCAAATTATGTATTCAACTGCAATTGGCCAGTTTTTCCCACAAGCAAGTGTTTAACCTTCGTTAATACAAGAAAATGAGATGTGAATAAGGAAAAATGATAAAGCAATTATTTTCCTCTTGAAGGCCAACAAAGGGTTTTGATGTGAAGGTTGGTGAGTGATTAGATTATGTGTTTGTTGTTCATCGGAGCAATATTTTTAATATTAAAATCTATGGGGGTTAAGGCCAGAAAAGTTTTTTTTTGTGTGTGTTATAATCTCTCCCTGATGAATGTTTACAAGGATAGCTTTGGATGTACCATTACATTACTGTATGGCATGCTCATGATGTGTTTTTACTAGCTAAGTTGAAGTTACTTGTATAAAAGAATGTAAATTAACATTAATAAACAAAAAGAATGAGTTTGGGCAAGGAGATACATATTGTATCAAATCTAAAATATGTGACAAAAAAAAACAAAACTTTGTAACTTTCAAAAAAGTTTCTAAACTATAGAGGGCAGCATTACATTTAGACAATATTTTTTTTTATTGTTAACTAAACATTAGTAGACATCTCATCAAACAGCAACTCATCACTTACAGTACAGGATGAAATAAACTATTTAAATAAACTTATTTGATCTGCTATAAACTTAGTCTTATTTGGAAGCCTGTGAATTAAAATCCGTATATAGAATTTGAACCATTGACTGGATTTAAAACAAACATCGCTACAGCTCCAATAAAAATGTGTTCTAATCCATCGTGGTGTGTCTAATGGATGTGGGGTTGGTTTGAGGTTGCAGGTTGCTTGGGGAGCCTGAAAATTACTGAAAAAAAATATGCTCCAACTGTTACCTCCTAATACCATATTTTAGCCTTTCACTTCATCATCGAACACTCCCACCAGTGCAACCGGTGACCGACGAATCCAACTCCACTCCCTGTGAACGTTAGACAACGTGATGCCATGTGTTTGTCGGTGGCAGTCTGAACAGGTTGTCATTAAAAATGATTTGTTGTGACGTTGCATTCTCCAGAATCGTGTCGGCTGACAACTATCGTGCGCAATGGGTGCCCAGCTTGATATCAAGCTCTGATTCTCATTTCAGGCAGTTTATGGAATAGTGCTCTGAAGGGAGCTGAGGATGTGTTTTTTTAAGTGTTTGATCCAATGACCAGGGGTATTATTGTAAAGCACTATACAAATTTAGCATTTTTAAGTTAGTCATATTTAATACAATGTGCTTTTTACCTGGTTTCTTGCAGCTTTGCATAATAAATACAACAGTAGCAAATCCAGCACATATAAACCAAATGGGACAAGTATAGAGATTGTGTATGGAACTGGAAGCATGAAGGGATTCTTAAGCACAGACAGTGTTGCAGTAAGTACATTTCTAACTATTTTTTAGTTTTTTGTTTGGGAGAGCAATTTGCTGGAACAGCTATATATCATCATCAGCTATTGTTGGTCCATTGCTGGACGGAAGCCTCAAAATTTTGACACCAAATCATTCTCTCTTTTGCTATGGTGCACCAATACACTTTTCCCCAATACCTATCGATCTGATCTCTCCAATTTTTACTCTGTGCTGTGTGGTAATATATTACCATGACGCTTTTTATACCATATTTTAATACAAAACAAGAAAGGCAGTGTATATTTAGCTGTTAACACAGCATTTTTTGTTATGATATTCAGGGGCACATTCCAAACACTAAAATATGAAATTATGCTTAATAGCTAGTGAAATACATATTTTAAAAAATCCACTAATTAGAAATAGAACAAAGTATTAAAGCTGCAACTGGTATTTATTTTTGTTTTACACAAAATTTACACAAAAATAATTTCAAGACACAGTATTATTAGGCCTATGTATCAAATGTGATTGCCTTTTAAAACAAATCAAAACCTAATTTTTGTTATTTTGTATATATGGAAGTTCTCTGTAGTTGAATTTAAATTTTAAAATGTGAATATTACATGTGTATATTATATATTTACATATTTTCTTAAATATATTGTGCTAATATGTGTTTCTTCCTTTAATAGTGCTCTGAAGGGAGCTGAGGATGTGTTTTTTTAAGTGTTTGATCCAATGACCAGGGGTATTATTGTAAAGCACTATACAAATTTAGCATTTTTAAGTTAGTCATATTTAATACAAAGTGCTTTTTACTTGGTTTCTTGCAGCTTTGCATAATAAATACAACAGTAGCAAATCCAGCACATATAAACCAAATGGGACAAGTATAGAGATTGTGTATGGAACTGGAAGCATGAAGGGATTCTTAAGCACAGACAGTGTTGCAGTAAGTACATTTCTAACTATTTTTTTGTTTTTTGTTTGGGAGAGCAATTTACTGGAACAGCTATATATCATCATCAACTATTGTTGGTCCATTGCTGGACGGAAGCCTCAACATGTTGACACCAAATCATTCTCTCTTTTGCTATGGTTCACCAATACACTTTTCCCCAATACCTATCAATCTGATCTCTCAATTTTTACTCTGTGCTGTGTGGTAATATATTACCATGAAGCTTTTTATACCATATTTTAATACAAAACAAGAAAGACAGTGTATATTTAGCTGTTAACACAGCATTTTTTGTTATGATATTCAGGGGCACATTCCAAACACTAAAATATGAAATTATGCTTAATAGCTAGTGAAATACATATTTTAAAAAAATCCACTAATTAGAAATAGAACAAAGTATTAAAGCTGCAACTGATATTTATTTTTGTTTTACACAAAATTTACACAAAAATAATTTCAAGACACAGTATTATTAGGCTTATGTATCAAATGTGATTGCCTTAAACAAACCAAAACCTAATTTTGTTATTTTGTATATATGGAAGTTCTCTGTAGTTGAATTTAAATTTTAAAATGTGAATATTACATGTATATATTATATATTTATATATTTTCTTAAATATACTGTGCTAATATGTGTTTCTTTTTAAATAATTTTGTAGCTCAATGCATGTTTAAAAAAACTAAAGAAATATTTAGTACTGACACAGTTACAGAGATAAAGATTATAGAGGGCTCACTCCATCCATTTTTCATAAAAGCACATGATTGAATTTAATTTAATGTAAGTGTAATCTTATCCAATATATTGATAGATTGGAAGCATTGTTGCCAAGAATCAAACTTTTGCAGAAGCAACACAAGAACCAGGAATGACATTTGTTGCCGCCAAATTTGATGGAATTCTTGGCATGGGGTATAGTGAGATTGCAGTGGACGGTGTCCAAACAGTCTTTGATACATTTGTAGAACAGAAGGTCGTTGATAAACCAATATTCTCTTTCTATTTAGATCGGTAAGGAATTGAATAATATATTGTTTGAAGGTTTGCATGGCGAAGTAAAAATAATATTATTAATGCTTGCAGTACACCACGTACAGTACATAATTAATTCTGAAAGAACTTTTGTCTTTGTGTTCTAGAAATACCAGTGATAGCACCGGAGGAGAGCTTATTCTTGGTGGGTCAGATCCAAAATACTACAAGGGAAGTTTCTCTTATGAAAAGGTGACACGTAAGGGTTATTGGCAGTTCAATATGGACAGGCGAGTGGTGTTTTTTTTGGGATTTTTTTAATCTTTATTGGGGTCATCCCACCTTTATTCATCAAAAAGACAAATTATTATGTATGAATAACATTTTGGTAATTTTGCTTGAAAAATCAAAATACACAATCATCTATAATGCAGTATGGCACTATTTTTACATTGCCACATTGCACAATCATCTATAATGCAAAATGGCAATGTTTAAATACTGGATAAATTTTAGCATTTCTTTTCAAAATATTTTCTAATATGTTTTTTTATTATAAAAAGTTGGCAAACTGAGGTGTAACGCCATTTGTTAAGATATTTTAGTAAATACAAAATGTTCCTAATGAAAAAAGATGGTCAATGTAAACATTTGCTGTACCAAGTAAAATATTTTTAAAATTTTGCTTCAATACCATAATTAAAAGGCTAAAGTTATTAATTTGCATATTTTTTACAGTATTAATTTTGATAAAAAGTCACACAAACATGTATCTATACTCCCTGAATCCATACTCAAATCTTTAATACATCTGTCTTTAACAAAAGTCAATACAATATAAAATGACACCGTAACCATTTAGATGGACACCAGATTTAGATGTATGGAAACCTGATTTTGAGAAAATTTATAGTGTGAAAGTATCAAAGCATCCATGCTGAAAGGGCTCCCACAAATATAGTTTAATAAACAATATAATGGTAGAATATTGTTGAGCGCCTTACACAATCAAATCGTCTCAAGGCTCTGGTTGAAAAAATGTTGAACCTCATATTGTTTTGGTGGTATTTGTATACAATATTAGGGTTAAAATGTAAACCTGAGCTCTGGATTTGATTTTTTTAATTCTATAAAGTGAAATTGAAATTAAGATTTTATGTTATTGCATTTTCAGTGTCGTAATCAAAGGTGGGTCTAAATTTTGCCCTAATGGATGTGAAGCTATTGCAGATACTGGCACATCTCTGATTGCCGGTCCAACAAAAGACATTGTTGCTATTAACAAGGAACTAGGAGCTAAAGTAATTGAAGGATCGGTAAGTTAAAAAGTGAATGTTGAACATATTTGTTGTTTGTAGATATAAAACATATGTAATGATATCATAAATGTAAACCTACTAAACATGGGCGAAACAAACTAATCGTTATTCATAATTAAATGGAGCAATGCATGCAGTATTGACAAATACATAGATGTGTGTGGCACAGTGTAGCCT